GGCTTCAGGAGACAGGTTTGGTGTGATATCAACTCCTAGATCTTTCTCTCTGTCTGTTTCATTAAGTACTTCATCTCCTATTCTGTATCCTGTGCCTGGCCTCCTGTTTCCACTGCCTAGTTTCATTACTTTGCATTTACTCGGGTTGAACTTCAACAGCCATTTGTTGGACCATTCACTCAGTCTATCCAGGTCATCTTGTAGTCTCCTACTATCATCCTCTGTTTCAATCCTCCTCATAATTTTTGCATCGTCGGCAAACATTGAGAGGAACGAATCTATACCCTCTGGGAGATCATTTACATATACCAGAAACAGTATAGGTCCAAGGACTGACCCCTGCGGGACTCCACTTGTGACGTCTCGCCAATCTGAGACCTCACCCCTCACACAGACTCGTTGTCTCCTGTTGCTTAGGTATTCCTCTATCCACCGGAGTACCTTCCCTCTCACTCCAGCCTGCATCTCCAACTTTCGCACTAGCCTCTTGTGTGGCACTGTATCAAAGGCTTTCTGACAATCCAAAAATATGCAGTCTGCCCACCCTTCTCTTTCTTGTGTGTGTGTGTGTGTGTGTGTTCTTGTGTGTGTGTGTGTGTGTGTGTGTGTGTGTGTGTGTGTGTGTGTGTGTGTGTGTGTGTGTGTGTGTGTGTGTGTGTGTGTGTGTGTGTGTGTGTGCGTGTGTGTGTTACTTAACGCCGAGCAGCGACGACGTGGACATAACCGGGAAACTTTGTGTTTTCCCTCCACGGGAGCCGCAGGACACAACTAGGTTCGTAGCCCCTAAATCCAACACCTTTCTTACATATCGTTCTCGACCCATACTCGGGGATCCTGGGTTTGAATCCCTAACTGGACAGAAATGGTTGGCCACATTTCACCTAATGGCGCTGTTCACCTAGAAGTAAATACAGTAGGTACCCGGGATTTAGTCAAGTGTTGTGGAGTTGTATCCTAGGGGGGGTGGTCAGAGGTTCGTCCTTGGGGGGGGGGGAAGGGAGACCTTCATATAAAACTAATGTATATACATACACAGGCTGCCTGTCCCAGATAAAATTTATTATTTGTTATTGGGCATCTAGTTCTGCCGTAGTTTATTGACTTGAGCCACAGGTGTGTGGGTGAGAGAGAGGTGGTAAAGGGCCGCGCCAACCACCACAGTCTGCTACACCACATTCATTCATAAGGTGGTTCCTTTCACAACCAAGCAGTCGACCAGTTTTAAAATGGCGATCTGTTCTCACTGTCAATTTCCACGCGGTGATCGATAGCATCTAAATTGTGAGGAGAAGTTGCATCAGAGTTGACCGATAGAATGGACCATAGTCCATGAGGAAGCCATAATTGGTTGGCATTCTCTCTGGATCACTCCGGTTGAACTTACAACTTCACTCAGTTGGCGTTCAAAGGTTCCATACCCCTATACTGAAGAGTTGTATATATAAATAAGTTAATGTACTCGTTATGACTGTACCTTCACAGGATGGGTATGGGGTAACCACCCACAGGATGGGTATGGGGTAACCGCCCACAGGATGGGTATGGGGTAACCACCCACAGGATGGGTATGGGGTAACCACCCACAGGATGGGTATGGGGTAACCGCCCACAGGATGGGTATGGGGTAACCACCCACAGGATGGGTATGGGGTAACCACCCACAGGATGGGTATGGGGTAACCGCCCACAGGATGGGTATGGGGTAACCGCCCACAGGATGGGTATGGGGTAACCGCCCACAGGATGGGTATGGGGTAACCGCCCACAGGATGGGTATGGGGTAACCGCCCACAGGATGGGTATGGGGTAACCGCCCACAGGATGGGTATGAGGTAACCGCCCACAGGATGGGTATGGGGTAACCACCCACAGGATGGGTATGGGGTAACCGCCCACAGGATGGGTATGGGGTAACCGCCCACAGGATGGGTATGGGGTAACCGCCCACAGGATGGGTATGGGGTAACCGCCCACAGGATGGGTATGGGGTAACCACCCACAGGATGGGTATGGGGTAACCGCCCACAGGATGGGTATGGGGTAACCACCCACAGGATGGGTATGGGGTAACCGCCCACAGGATGGGTATGGGGTAACCGCCCACAGGATGGGTATGGGGTAACCACCCACAGGATGGGTATGGGGTAACCGCCCACAGGATGGGTATGGGGTAACCGCCCACAGGATGGGTATGGGGGTATATAATAAACTAAACTTACTGGTGGGGATGAGATTAGTGGAAAAGTGAGAATATATATGTTTAGTTGTGGCTAGTTAAGCATAAGGAGGCAGCGGCCAGGTGAAGGCTACAGCCAGGCAGTGTGGAAGAGTGAGGTGCCTGGGTGTGTGAGAGTGGGGGCCAGGCCGGGGTGTGTGAGAGTGGGGGCCAGGCCGGGGTGTGTGAGAGTGGGGGCCAGGCCGGGGTGTGTGAGAGTGGGGGCCAGGCCGGGGTGTGTGAGAGTGGGGGCCAGGCCGGGGTGTGTGAGAGTGGGGGCCAGGCCGGGGTGAAGGCACTCTGCCCGCGGCCACAGTGTGACGGTGGAGGTCCGTGGAGGCGTCTAGCATCTCTTGCTGTAGTCCTGCTGACCTTGGCCGGGCTGCCCGGGCCGCCCGGCCCTCGGATTTCCCAACTATTTTGTTATTCCCGGTTTACCTGAGCGTGAATCCCGGGTTATGACTGAAAGTGATGTTTACAACTAAATCCTTGGCCCATCCTGGGTACATTTTGTAAGCGTTCTCTAATCTAGCATCACTCCCGCTCTTCGTGACCCGATCCTCACACGATGCTCATCTTCCAAGTTAATGCATAATATGTTAACATGGGTGAATGCGCCCTGGGGGGTGACGCGGGGGGGGCACCGCTCCTCTAACTAGCCTGGCCTGACATCCTGATGTCAGGATGGTGCTTGAGGATGCTTTGATTTATAAATTTAAAATGCTTTACATGATTTACAACTGATTACGTTCGCATTTCTCCAGGGCAATGCTTAGCTCTCTTCGTAAGTTCGACGCTGACCTTTACACGCTGTTATCCACATTCTGTACAGACACATTATTGTCAACACAACCAAACGGTCTAACATACACTCAATTTAATTATAGACAAGTGTAATGTATATCTGTAAAAGTGTGTATCCGAGGATGAAGGCCACACCGCTAGGAGGTAGGCTCGCCCAACTTTCCAGGATGACACGTGGAGGGTATGGGAGTACCACTATCATCAGTGATACGCCCCAATGCCACACTTTAAGAAATAGCGATTTTCATCGGCGGTCTGAAATAAAATCATGGGTTGTGATTTCCATAGAGTTTTAATACTCCCGCCGGGTCCAGGCATAAAAAGCTACGATTTGTTCAGATCTGAAACCTGTATTTATGGGCAGCACAAACCGTCGACCAGACTGTGCGACACAGTGGTTGCCAGGATCAGGTTGGGTTACCGTTACCTGTGGCAGGTGGCTACAGGTGATGGATCTACCAATCCTGAGCACTCCAGGTGCAAACTCTGTGAGCAGGAACTGCGGCATGATCTCCCGCACTACATCACCGAATGCTCAGTTATTAGACCTTTCAGAAAAAAAAAATTTTTCGCTCGACAAAACATGGTGATAAGATGACATAATTGAAGGGGAATTCCATTTTTCAGGATACCACCCACCTTTCAGAAAGGACATAACAACAGCAGGTGGTGGTGTGATACTATAATGTATCTTCCTTTCCAAATATAAAAAATTATTACAGTATGGACTTCTATCTACAGTGTTCTGTACTAATTTTCTGCTGGTATCCAGTTCTTTCCTAAGTACCTGTCTGATGTCAGTTCCTGACTGCTTAATTCTGTTTTTGACTTCTAGACATACTTCTGTGATTGTTTTTTATATCCTCCTTACACTTACACTCCTTTAGTAACCTCCAATGTTGTGTGTTTCGTCGTGTTCTGCAAGTTGGCAGAGTGTAATGTGGTGTTGGTTGGCTAATGACGCGTGGCTCGGTGTGCTTGTCGCTGGAGAGGTAGAGGGTCAGTTCTACCTTCACTGGGCGAAGGACTCTATCTTTTCCTACCATCGCTATCTTCATCACTTGCCTTCTTATTGCTTTGTATTTGTCTTGATCAGCTTTGCTTGACTCCTTCAGTTTGTTTCACATTTCTTTGTCAATTCCACACTGACATCTGTGGTAAAGTAGGATGCGAAACTATAATGAGACGTTTCCAAGACGATTTACATGAACTGCATATAAGGACAGAAAAGTGGTAAATGCTCATGTATAAATTCAAGGAAATAGAAGATTAAATCAAAAAAACTCTAGTCACGAAACCGGACCGATTCGTATAGTTAGTAGATGCCTCCATTCTAATAGACACGGAAAGCACTTCCACACCTGGTCCATGGCGACACGTGTATGGCAAGAAACGTGTGCATGGAGAGAGGCAGTGGGAGTGGTGGCAACATGGCAGGTAGTGTTGGCCCTGGCAGTGCTGGCCCTTAGGGGGGTAAGAAGTGTTCTTGGTGGGTTGCTACAGTAGCTGTGCTCTGCTTCGCTCCACCTGGCCACCACCTGACACCACCTTCTCGGACAGCTTAATTCGTTGTTATTTGTTCTCTGGTTATCAACAAGGCAGAGCGCGGGTGCTGACTCAGGCAGCTGGTGACTTCGGTGTTATTGTAAGATGATCAGATGTGGCGCGGCTTTGGTGAAGCCACCAGCCTCTGGCCAAGGGCTGTAGATACTTCCACCGCTGGCCGCTAGTGGCTCTCCTCCAGTAAGCTGTGAATCAGTGTGACGGGACAGTTCATATACCTACATTTCGTAATCTGCTAAAAATTCCGTGTTTCAAAATTCAACAATATTTCCGTAACTGCAATGGGAATATTGGTATTGTCCAGTTATCTTTCGTTAAATTTGTAATACAGTACTCCTGTTACTTGAGCACTGTTACTCTCAGGACGTTGAAGAGACTTGGAAGCCTAGTAGCTAGTAATCCTCCATCTGTGTTTCAGAGTGTGGGGGAAGGTGTGGCTGGTGGTGGTGGTGGCGGCGGCGACGGTGGAGAGCCAGCGGCGGCCGTCGGGGCAGGGCGTCACCACCACGATCGGGGGGCAGGGCGTCACCACCAGGCTGGGACTCTTAGGACCTGAGCTCGGCTTGCCTCCAGTTCCCATCGGCGGCATCAGTAAGTGCAGTTGTACACTTGCTAGTTCACTGTTGTGTCTAGACACATGTATTGTTGTTATAACTTGCTTTAGCACTATATAATTCTTGCTGTGTAAGAGTCATTGTTATTTATGATGTGTAATTTAGTTATTTGTGTGTCAACTCAAGAATAAGTTGCGCCACAGAAACAGATGAATCTGTCTTTTACCAGCGTTGTGTTGATAACATTTTCGTCAGTGTTGCTCATACTTTAACATATCATGCGTCTCACATCTTATTTTGTTTTACTCTTTCATTTGTTTAATTGTCATCTGTTTACTCTTCTCACCGGGCAGACCAGCCGGCCAGGGACTCAGGGATCATCGGGTGTGTGTGTCTCCCTGTTAACCAAGTGTGCCCTGAGGGTCAAGCTCCTCCTCCACAAAACTCTCAAGTAGGAGCACCCAACCACGGAGCCGGTCAGATCGACGTGCGCATAGTTAACTTGGTGAGTGGGGAATGACAAGGACAACTTACATGAAAACTATGAGTAATTGCAAAGTTTTCACCGTCCTGATAGACCTATTAATGTTACGTGGCCAATGAGCATAACGTACAACTCAAAACAATGGATATATATTGGATAAGTTTAGATTTAGGAAAGACCTGGATAAATATTGGTTCGGTAACAGGGTTGTTGATTTGTGGAATTAATTACCGGGTAACATGACAGACGTAGGATCCCTTGATTGTTTCACGCGTAGGTTAGACATATATATATATATATATGAATGATTTTGGGTGGATATTAATAGGAGCTGCCTCGCATTGGCCAATATGTATTCTGCATATTGTTTTCGCGTTTTGGCTTTGCTACTGCCGTTGGGCATCCCTATTCAACGGTTCGGTTGTACGACGCCTGGCGCACATATCGCCTTGGGTCACGGGATTGTTGATAGATTTTTTGTTTTTGGCGTGTTCTGGCTGGTTCTCCCGGCGGGGTGACGGTGTTCGGGGACCGGCTTGGCGGAGAGGTGCGGGAGGTTGGTGGGTCTTAGTGGGCTCCTGGTGTGCCTTCAGCCGTGGTGGGCGGCCGGCTTTTGCTCTGCCGGAAGACACTGGATGACTTTTTGCGTTTTAGTTGGGGTCGAGTCTTGGTTTTGCTACCCAGTGAAATCTGTGTGGGGCGGGGCCGGTGCTTGTCACCCTGAGGGACTCCTGAGGCTCTCCAATCATTTGCCTGTCTGTACGTTTCTTTGCCACGAGGCATATTAGTTTTTAGTGATTGGCGTCACTCGTTTCGCGATTTGGCTTGGCATTTCACCTTTCTGGGCTTCGCGATTAATCCATCACGGGTACGCCGGGGCGCATCCGATCCCACGATCGTCGTCGCCCCTAAATCAACAACAACAACAACAACTCTCAAGGGAGCATATCTCTAACACATCAGGGAAGATAACCCCGACTGCACAAGGGCAGCACTTAAGGTGCACCCAAGAAAGGGAACCATGAGCAGATGCAGCACCAAGTGCACAAAACTCCTGGATCATGTGGCACAAAATGTGCAAGAAAAAGTCACAAAGGCAAACACTTCTTTGGTAAAGACAGGAGACCGGAAGCAATGTTCAGAGAGGGCGGCCAGATACTGCCTCCCATCAGCACAGAGCCGGAGGTGGAGCAGCTGGCTGACCCCGACTGCATCCCTCCCTCCCTCCCTCCCTCCCTCCCTCCCTCAAGCGAGAGGCGGCGGGAGGTGAGGTAAACTAGTTCATGCTAGTTTCACAAATTTTCAATAGTTTGTTTATATGTTGGTAAACATATTTCCATATATTGGTAAACATATATGGAAATATTTGCCATATTTCCAACTTTTCAACTTCCAACATATTTCCGTGCTTTTTTGGGGAGGGGGGGGGGAGGGCTTTAAATTCTTACAAATCACGACCCCAGATCTTTCTTACAATCAGACTTTGTAATCTTAACATCATCCAGTTGATATCTTGTTACTGTGTCATCATTACCTAGCCTCACAACCACTTTGTTTGTCACCATTAAACTGCATCTACCATTCTTTCGACCATTTCAAAATCCTATATAGATCGTCTTGAAGTTATATTAAGTGTTTCTGAATTTATTTCCTAACCAATTTTCTGCAAATTTATAAACATTGCTGATCAATCCTGAATCTAAATCGTTGATATTTATGTATGATAAACACACGCGGTCCAAGGACAGAGCCTTGAGGCACTCCACTTACAACAGTTTCCCACTCTGACTTAACTCCATTTATAATAACTCTGCTTCCTTTTTATATAGCCATGCCCTTATCCAGATTAAGAGAGCACCCACAATACCGTGAGTCTCTGACTTTCTAATCAGTCTTTCCCGAGGCACTGTATCAAAAGCTTTGCTTAAGTCAAGGTACACAACGTTACAATCCTGTCCACTTATTGACTGCCTCAAATATGCTGGAATAGAATGAAAGCAAATGTGTCAAACATGAACGGCCCTTAGTAAATCATGTTATGAATCATTTATTAATCTAAGTTTTTCAAGATGTAGGCGAATGGCTTTTTGCGATTATCGATTCTAGCGATTTTCCCATAACAGATGTTAAGCTAATTGCCTGATATTTCGACACAAGTGATTTATTTACCTCCCTTCTTAAAAATCGGTATCAAATTAGCAACCCTCCATAACTCCGGTACTCTTCTTGTCTCTAATGACTTATTAAATATGCAAGACAAGGGCTCACAAAGCTCTATATATTCTTTAATCCCCCCCCCTGAAAAAGGGTGCTTAAAGTCCTAAATCTAAATCGTTCCATACATGGAATAGAACAGCGGCTCCAGGACAGAGCCTTTGCTGGACACTCTACTTTCAATGGTTACCCACACCATTTATACTAACTCTTTGTTTCCTTTGATATAACCGTGCATTTGTCTAGCTTAAGATAGCACCCTCAACACCGTCAATCTTCACCTTTATAATTAGTGTTTCGTGTGGCGAAATATCAAAAGCTGTGCTATGTTGACTGATGGATTTTGCAGTCATAGACGAAAGTAAATTTTCCCATAACAGACGTTAATTTCCCGATAGTTTGAGGCAAGTGGACAAATTTATCTGCCTACTTACAAGTGGACACCAGGCCGGCGAGAGCTCTGCCCTGAGCCTCACTGGGTGTGTGTCTGGAAAAAGAAAAAAGTGGTATATTAGAAGGCAAATTTGAGCCTCGAATTATCTATTGTTGTTATTTATTTAACACAAATATTGTTTGTTATTTAAACATAAAGACATAAAAATTAAGGTAACTGCAGAAGGCCCATACGATTAAGTAACTCCAATTGTATAATATTTGCTGATATTTGACATAATGTCTATTACGAGGTTGAGAGCCTTCCCAGGCCTATTTCATTAATTACATTTATTTATCTAATATTAAACATTTATTTGTCTAATATTAAACATTTATGTATCTAATATTAAAGCCCATGTTTTAAAAAGGGTTTATGAAACCTGTTTTAAAATGCAAGTGGCCCCATCATCCACTGTATTTCTTCACCGCAGCCAATAAAAGGATTCTGACCCTTCAATAAAGGTAGGAGAAGTTGAGAAGTACTTTACGTGGGGAACTTCATCTAGGTTTGAACTCTTTGCCAGCTGACAGGTGGGCAGTGTCCGGGTCAGAAGATGTGCTGTCCGGGCGGTGTTATCCCCCCAGGACCAGGACCGCGCCCTCCACCCTCCGGCCCCGTACCCATCAATACCGGGGGCTGTGGCTTCCAGAACCCGCTACCCATACCCAACCAACCAGCCAAGTTTGCTGAGGTAGGTACAATAGACACTTGTGTACAGCCCTTATTTGTTACTGTTATCATTTTGTTGCTGTTGTTATCGTCCAATTGCAGTGGCGGGGTCCTAATGACGACTAATGTGTTATCTTGCTTGAGCCGACACAATAATATAGTAATTTTATTTGATCATTATATGATGCTAACGACGTAAACAGGCGGAGTTCGGAGAGTACCCGTGGGTGGCTGTGGTGCTGGACAGGGCCAACAACTACAAGGGTGGAGGAGTCCTCATCAGCGAGAACTGGGTGCTCACCGCCGCCCACAAGGTCGCCAAAGAGAGGTAAGTCTCACAAGCTCACACATTCCTCCATACTCACTCTTGTATTCATGCCGTAAATATTGTCTAGCTATGTCATGCTCAACAGTCCCCATCCCCAAGGTTGCTTGCGTCACACGCCGTAATGTCGACCTCGTCATTCCCAATGGAGGCAGTAGAACTACAACTGCTCCTGGTTGATACCTGTTGATGGGGTTCTGGGAGTTCTTCTGCTCCCCAAGCCCGGCCCGAGGCCAGACTTGTCTTGTGAGAATTTGGTCCACCAGGCTGTTGCTTGGAGCGGCCCGCAGGCCCACCACAGCTCCTGTATTAATTAAAATAATAATAATGCAACTAATGATAACAATCAAGATAATAGTTTCCCATAACACGTGAATTTTTCCCCCTCTATTCATATTGGCATTATACCCTCCTTAAAAGCTGCATATCATTTGTTTAATTTCTTGAAATGTGTTTATGTCAGCTCACATCATGTTGAGTATTGTCTACCTCATCAAACTTGTATACAACCCTGATCAATTATTTTAAGTTATGCCCGAAACGCTTTGCGTAGTTGGGGGCCTTATTAAATATACGTAAATATTAGATAAACAACTATATCAAACCAATGAATATTATTCTTTTGTATATGTTTAGGTCTTATTTGTATATTTTTATTATTGTTATTATTATTACTACTATAGACGTGGGATCGATAATTACTTTTTAGCATATGCTAGACATATATATGAATGACACTTGAGGGATATAAGCGGGTGTCTCATATAGGCCGCTATGCCTTTAACACCTTCCTTTATTATGATGCCCTGCGTATACACCTCCTACTGTTACATATTATTTTAATTAAATCTAACCAAATAATTTGTGCGAGGCTCAGTTTTGATACCTTCTTTGACACTACATTTGCATCACTTGATATAATGTTCAGGTAATAGTTCCCTGTTTTCTACATTTATCCACGTTTCAGTTAGCGCAATAATATCTACCGTTTCTATGCACACAAGTGCACTTAAATCTTAGATTTTGTTTATGAATTATGCTGCTTGTGTAGTACACCTTAGGGATGGTTTGTTATAGCCCATCACCATCCATATTATTTGTAACCAAAGTTTTTCCTACCAACTCGCTCCCATATTTCCTCCTCTCCCCAAATTCATTCCCATACTTCTATGTTTTACACTGTAGCCGGCACAAAACCATTCCAGCCATATATATAAACGAACTGGCATTTCTAACATATAAGTTACTCTTTCCAAAAGAATTGTTCTTAATTATAAATTGATAACATTACATTGGATTTGCAAAATTTGTATAGTCGGCGATTGGCTCAAATTGTCCTAGACCGCCATTCATTTGCAATTTCTCTTCTTGAAACACTGCCATATGATCGAAGTCCTCCCTTGCTGATAATTCATTGAAAGTCTTAAACTTCTGTATTCCTGACTTCCAACTTCATTTCCTTCGGTGCAAATACAAATAACGGGTTTGTTCCCATTGTCAATCAATATATCACTTATTATTAACAATTGCCCCAATTTTCACTCCCGGACAGGAAGTCCTTAACCTGTTTTAGCTGTTTCTAGCGCAGTAGGCCGTATACAGAGTCCTTTATTTGTATGGTCTTTATATCTCGCCTACAACCGAAACTTGCTTGTTTCTATTTCCTTTCCTTTCACCACCTGAAAACTGAGCCATCACCACCTCGCAGCACACGTCCTCCGACGCAATATAAGCATTTGAAATTGTAACATCAGGAACGACAGATTTGTTCATGGTATGGAAAGGTCGCACTCTCATAAAATGTTAAAATATATATTTTCAGGGACCTGAAGGTGCGGTTGGGAGAACACGATGTCACAAAGCCTAAGGACCACCCAAATTTTGATCACATCGAAATACCAGTCGGAAATATCATCATTCATCCCGATTTCAAAGCCGACACCTTACAGAACGACGTGGGCCTCTTGAATCTCCAGAGACCCGTCAATACAAATCAGTTCCCACACATCGGAACGGCCTGTCTCCCTCGTCAGGGCCAGATCTTCGCTGGCGAAAACCAGTAAGTACTGGGTATTGACAACTGGTACTACTGATGCGTATACAGTAATACGGTGGGACTCACTGGTTGGAAACAATGTAGATTTCTTAATGAATACCAACAGCACACGAGGAGGCAGAAAGTTTGAGCCACAGATGTGAAAAAGTGTTTAGTTATTTTAGCAGTCGTAGGAAAATGGAATGAATTCGTCGATCTTACGGTAGAAGTCAAATCCATTCATAACTTTATTGGCAGATACACTATAAGGGTATGGGAGAGGTTGGGTAAAGGTTGTGATAATATAATGTTGGGACAGGGCAGTCTCATACCCCATAACTATTCAGACAAACTATGTAGACATAAGCAGACTGAGTATAGCTGAGGGACAGAACAAAACTCGTCTAGGAATTTAATTCAGTAGAGTGAGGGAGATGCAACATATGCAACACACAACTGGTAATCTTACACGACTCAAAATACTCAGTAATAAGAAAATTGTCAAAGAAACATTGAATCAATTATGGTGGAAAATAGAAGGGTAGAAATAGCCTAAGCTACTTTATCCTTGTGAGCGGTATCTTATTGTCTCAATAAACGTACTTGAAGTTGAAGTGATGGAAAATACCGTCAACTACGTAATAATTTGTAATAGTATATTAGATATTATTAAGCTTTCTTTTCCCCTAAGGTGCTGGGTGACCGGTTTTGGCAAGGACGCCTTCGACGGCGTCGGTGAGTTCCAGCGTATCCTGAAGGAGGTGGACGTGCCCGTGCAGGACCCCTTCGTCTGCCAGGAAAGGCTCAGGAATACTCGCCTCGGGCAGACATTCATTCTAGATAGAAATTCCTTCTTGTGCGCTGGCGGTATAGAAGGGAAGGACGCCTGCACGGTAAGCTTTCTGGCTCTCATGCACCCACAAGTGAAGAACTGTTTGAGCATTAAAAACCTTTACAGTGAAAAGAACCCGATTTTGGTTTAATTTTTAAGCAGTCTTCTTTTTTAAATACTTAAATCCTGTTTGTCACCACAATTGCCCTGCTTCATATTCAGATTTCGTCCAGTTACACTTTCACAGGGTGTGATGTTTTATTAGTTTAGTTCGATTATTATGCACAGACATCCATCCTTAGAGCTGTGGTGGACAGGTTTGAGGCATATAATGGTCGCTGGAATTGAATACCAATGTTAAGTAAACATTGGTATTTAATTCTAGGCAGCTTATGGATTTGATTAACTTGCGTTTATCATGCATCAAAAATGTGTTTACAGGTTTAGTTTGTTTAGTTTAATTATTCTATTATTAGTGGAGTACAGACTCTTTTTCGTTATCCTCATAACTTTGCATTTGACTGGGTTAGTCTTTTCAGCCATTTATCCGACCTTGTCTGGAGTATCAACATTTCCTAACAGTGTGTGGAAGACTGATCTGATATGTTTGTCTCATTTGTTATAAACCGTAGGCGCTATTATTAGCAATATGGCTGGTAATGGGAGGGGTGGGGGATCCCCCATTGTCTGTATCAATACAGGAGAAAAGATGTAGGAATATCCTCCACCAAGATAATGTTATTAAAACAAAAGACTAAAACAAGTGAGTTAAATCAGAGGTGGAAAGGAAACGAGAGAAAATGAGGAAACCCCACCTCCATTTAAAACTGACCCAAATATCACAGTAACAAGGTTATCGGGAATACCCGAACTCAATTACGGGCTCACTATATATAGTCCGTGCTACATGGACATTTCGTTCTGAGTAGCTAAATCTAAGACAACTCTAACAGATGTAGGAAGAGTCAGGAGTGAGGCACTAACTCAGAAGTTTAAGAGAGTCATTGAGCTAGTTACTTTAAAGGAAAGGATCCCAATCATATATGGAAGTCTTCCGAAAAGGGGTGTTGGAAATCAATGGCTGTCTATGGCAATTATTTATTTGCCAACTTGACAAATATTCCAAAGCCAATGCATTATCGCCATTGACGTGGAACTTCGGTAAAACATTGAGAAGGAAAAGCAGAAGTGGTTTAATAACTAAGAAAATCCTTTAATGCATACAATTCCTTGCGACTCAAAACCAGGCTTTGCCAGGACACGGAATCACTTCAGCTAGATGATGACTCCGGTGTGGGGAAATTTCCTTAGCTCACTCTAATTAGTGGCCATCTTTGACCCTCTCATGAAAGAACTCCTCACTCGTGTGGAAAGTCATCCCGGATCCTGGTCTTGTCTTTCTCCGGGTGTCCACACCGAATTCATCCACATTATGTCATCTACTGTTCGCCAGAGTTTACCGAGAAGCATTCTTGAAGCCAAGAATGGTCTAACATGGCCTCTTGTTCGACTCAACACCTGATCAGGCACACGGTGAGCAGATATCAGAAGTAGTGAGGTATGTGGGAGTCGATCTTGAGAGGAAAACAGTACGTTTTAGAGTCCTTATCTGGCATATCCAGATAAGCCAAAAGGATACTGAAAGCTTTGTTAAAGATATCTTGAAACAGCTCGGGAAGGAGGAAATTGAGCTTCAAGATTGTCGGTCAGAGGATTGTTATGGCAACACTGCTCTGATGGCTGGACACAGAAGTGGTATTCGTCAAATAATAAGTGAGGAAAATAATACACACAGAAATCACAATAGCGTGATGCATCAAATGAACAAATCCACAAGGGCCGTGAAGAGGGTTCGAACCTACGTCCGAGATCCTCTCGGGATTTCTGATCTCGGATTTGGGATCCTCTCGGACGTAGGTTCGAACCCTTATCACGGCCCTTGTGGATTTGTTCCTGAGGAAAACAACCTTGTAGTATTTGTGAACTGCGACAATCACTCGCTCAACTTGGTGCGTGTCCATGCAGCCAAGCAGGATACATTGGTGGTCACGTATTTTGGAACCATTGAAGGTCTCTACGTGTTCTTCACCTGTTCAACACAGCGCTGGGGAACTATAAAACAAAACGCTGTGCTTATGGCTGTTATGGCGGAGTCCGAAACTAGCTGGAGTACAAAGACAGAAGCAGTGAAGTCCATCAATAAATACCTTGAGGAGATACTGCAAGTTCTCCTGGACATGATAGACAATGAAAACGAGACCAATGAAACAAGTGACGCAAGGCAGATTTATAACCGCGCGTTCAGATACAATTTTCTGACTTTGCTAGGATTATGGAACAAAGTACTTATTCGCACTGACCATATTCAAATGAGTCTGCAGGATCCTAGTATGAACTTCCACAACGCTGCCCTAGATATGAAACCCCTTCATTTTGATGATGAAGGAGAAGTGTTGGTCAGTGAATCACTCAAAGGAGGACTCTGTGTCAAGAATGGAATATTGAAGTTGAAAGACGTCAGAGATGTAAGAAACAAATGGTTGATGAGAATCGGAGAGACGCTGGGTTAATATTCAAGGAGGAAATGGAAAGTCATGATGGGAACGCACTGGACGTCTTCACGCAGAAAAGGACAAAAGACTCGCTTGTGTGCTGGACACTGACGCCAAATTTGGATTCCTTTTCGATATCGAGGTACTATTTTACGGCGTCGATAGTAACCACCTATAAAAGAATCGCGAAATTTTGGGCGAATTGAGCATCTTTGATGTTGATTAACAGCAGCTAAATGAAGGTATTTTGGATTGCAGAATGTTGATATCAAGTCGGCCCAACATAAAAATAAGATGAGAAGAGCTTCTCAAAATTATTGTTTAGTATGGAGGGAACATCTTCCCCAAACTTCACATTGCTATTAAGAGAATGCTAACCATCGCCAGCTGTGACAGATCATTCAGAAAGTTCAAACTATTACTTTCGTATTTGAGAGCTTCGAAGGCAGACGCTTGCTCTTTAAAGAGAAGAAACTGGATAAACAACTTTGAACACATCATAGACCAATTTGCGTCAGTGAAAACAAGGAAAGTGCAGTTGAAATTTCCATGTAGTTTTTTAATTTGTTAATTAAAAGATTAACGAGCTTGACTTATAGTATTTTTGAGCTGATATTATGGTAAAATTATCTACAAGATGGGTGTCAGACTTGTGGACACGGGTGTCTTGTGGACACGGGTGTAATGTCAACACTTGTCATAGACGCTGCTGTCCGTAGATACACCCCAGCACCCTGCTGCTGGGTGCTCCATTTGGTAATATTTTGGAACCATTGAAGATCGGAAATATAATATTATATAATAGTATACTATTATAATATTATACATATTTTTTAATTATAATATTATATAATATTATACAGTATTATATTTCGAAGGGGATTTAAAGTGATAAAATTCTAAAGACCGCTGGTCACCTGTGTGACCAGAAAAATAGATGGTATCGCAGTCTCTCTAGACAGATGGAATGCCAGTCACATAAAAAAAGGCCAAATAAAGTAAAAAAAAAATAATTAAGACTGCAATTTGTCTTCACTGTGAGGTAACTGTAGGATAAGACAGAGGGAAAAAACATTTAAAAATACTTTACCTTGATAGAAAACTGAAATTAAACAAATTACAAAACATAAAATAATATCCAGGCTTGGCTCTAATACAAAGTGTGCAAAACAAACAAGATGAACAATCAAACTTACGTTACGTTAATGTGCAAATAAAATATGGTGCGGGAATACTGTGAGCCAGACTGAATAACTCTGTTACCACACCGGGGTATGTCAACAGGTCTACTCAGTAGAGCACTCAGGAGTAATCTGAATCATAGTGGGCTAGGTAGCCCTATATATATACATGACGACAGCTGTAAGGGGGGCGCTGCTAGCTTCTTTAACTATGAACTGGCTTGTTAACTGCTTGTTTGAGATGGCATGAGCTCCCGAGGCGTCGCCAGGTGCGAAGAGGGTGACAGGCCGTGGGGGTAGGTAAAATGGTGATATTGTCTAAACGTCTGGAAAGTTGTTGTTGTTGTTCTTGTGGGTGCCACAATACTTGAATATATAGACGTGGTATGATAGAATAGGTGATGATGGAGCAGGCCGAATGTCTTCCTAGAGATTTTACCGTGACACCTGCCACAGGTTTCGTGGGGATCACCATGTAAGCCGACCTCGTTAATGAGATTAATGGGGCCATTACCAGTCACCTTGCAAAGTTGGGCGAGGTCCCCAAGCATTTGCCCTCCAACCTTGCAGAAACATACTCTTACAGTTCATTCACCTGGACACTAACTAGTAGACTTGAACCACCGACCCTACGAGTGAGAGATAGAAGCTATATTCACTATAATATTATACTATGAACAGCCTTAATTAGGAAATATTCCAGAAGTAACTAGTAGCAGCCAGGGGAAAGTTTAAAATTCCAGTTAGACAGCGGTTAGCTGCTTCTGGAGTCTTTCCTTATTAAGGCGTAATCATAGCATGGTGGTTAGAGGTTCTGTTCCGTGTACGTGGGGTCGCTGCTTCCAGTGAGTTAAATGTTTATATCCACGGTAGTGTGGTTGACAATTTATACTCTTACATAGATATTTCGGTTTAGATACCCAATTTGTTATGACTTTGTACTCTTAACTTGTTTACAAGTTCCTACGCGTGAGGCAATCACCATCACTACTGTTTTGTTTTGTTTCAAAATTACTTTAATAAATTGTTGCACCAGTAATGTGTATGTGGTACAGGGTGACGGAGGGGCCCCCCTGGTGTGTAAGCCGGAGAGAGGACAATGGACAGTAGCTGGTCTGGTGGCTTGGGGTATTGGCTGCGCCACCAGTGAAGTCCCCGGTGTCTACGTTAATATCGCTTCCTACGCAGACTTCATCCGTCGATTCGTCAGGTAAGACAATTCGCCTCCCCGCCAGTTCTTAGGTCATCAGGCTAGGACATGTCTTTCATATTATGAGAGGTTCGTTATCAACGTCACAGCAATTACTGACAATGTTTATGTATAATAATATATGACGAACGTACATTGTTCAACAGATATTTACAATGTTTTTTATTATGTTTTATAACTTAACATTTGTATAATTTTTTATTATTTTGTATAATATATGATTTCTAAGCTTTCAGAAAGACACTTTTGAGGACACACATGAATTGAGTTCTGACAGTTAAGAAAATAAGCGTAGCAACTCACACATTTGAAAAGGGAAAAGATACCCATACATGATAGAGCATAGACAAAATTATATCATTTCTACCTGTCCTTATAGAACTGTTTCGTGATAGTTCCACAAGTTTGTATTAAAACTGTGATATTGTAATTTTAGATATAATTTAAATCACAACTGCATATTATAATTAAATCATAATCAAACTGACACTGAATCTTGTCCTACCTACTTACCCAATTTTAGTACTTAAAACGTACCTCACCAGAATAATCAATACTATCAATGTTATTATAGTTTATTATCTTGAAATCAAGTTCTGCTACAATGTATCTTTTAATTACTCTCACTTTTATCTGTTAGATTACTGTTAGATCACTCCGAAACAGGTTTCAGAGTGTGCGTTAGAGGCTTTTTAAGAAAAATTGCATGTATTTGTGCTTGGAAGAAAACTCTGCATTGGAAGGGGGAACTAATTTATTATTACATTATATCTAGTATCAATTAATATTTACAAATATTAATTAAAATTAAATATAGCTTAGTTACTTGCATGTAACTAGCATTCTACATTCTTCCAGTTACTCGCTTGTGCAGTGTGAATTTATTCTTTAAGTAAACATTAACGTAGTCTTAATTAATTATGGATTAAGTGAGTTATAGAAGTTAACTAAACCATGTACACTAAGGCTACTGCCAGAAGTGGAAGCCTAACACTAGGGGGTTCCGGCCCCTCCCCCCCATCAGTAAACCCAAATCATATAACGGGTCATGTGGGAAGTAGACAAGGCCAAAAGCATAACAATGCACGAGGAATTGTGGGCGATTAACCAGATACCTGTACCCAAAAAGTTAGCACCCAGAATGGGTGCAGTGTAGCTGGTGAATTTCTCACTTACAGTAATCTAGGACACAAATGAAACAGGAGTTGTAGTTAGTTATGGAGGAAATGGCACCTGGGTCCGCTTGCCGCCTGTCCTCTTACAAATTACGTCTGAATTTGGCCGTTTGCCAGTATGGCCGAAAATGGACGTAATATGAAGATGAAAATAAAATTTGGATTTTTTTTCCAAAACTGTAAGTTAAGGGTCCTCTGGTAGGCTATGGGTCAGGAAATTCTCCTAAAATTTCAAAACGTCATGAAAAACGTTTAATGGAAAATTTCCTCTCCTAACCTAACGAGCAAGCCAGTCAACTCAAACAGAAAACGGGACAGGACATCACTTTCGTGAGTCGATTTCATTTCAAATTACGTCCATTTTTGGCTACAGAGCGCATACGAGCGAAAAGCGACGTTATTTTTAAGAGGACGGGTTGGCCAGTGGGAGTACAGGCTCCAGGGAGGAGGGTGGCCTGCGTGTTGAGGGGTGCTGCGTGTCTGCAGGCGGAGAGGAGGTCGTGACCCACCTGCAGGCGCAACTCGTGAGGCAAATGTTGTTCTTCCTACAGAAACTTTCCCGCTATTCCAAGCAGGATCATCTCTCACAACCCAATGTACCCTCTTATATGTTCCTAAATAAGTAAATAAATTGCTTGTAACAAATGTTTATATTTTTCTCCCCACAGAGTGTAGGAGGATATATAACATCGCCTTGGCCTGCGGACTCCTCCTACCTACCCTGGCCTGCGGTCTCCTCCTACCTACCTTGGCCTGCGGACTCCTCCTACCTACCTTGGCCTGCGGACTCCTCCTACCTACCTTGGCCTGCGGACTCCTCCTACCTACCTTGGCCTGCGGACTCCTCCTACCTACCTTGGCCTGCGGACTCCTCCTACCTACCTTGGCCTGCGGACTCCTACCTACCTTGGCCTGCGGACTCCCCTACCTACCTTGGCCTGCGGACTCCAACCTACCTTGGCCTGCGGACTCCTCCTACCTACCTTGGCCTGCGGACTCCTACCTACCTTGGCCTGCGGACTCCTACCTACCTTGGCCTGCGGACTCCTACCTACCTTGGCCTGCGGACTCCTCCTACCTACCCTGGCCTGTGGACTCCTCCTACCTACCCTGGCCTGCGGACTCCTCCTACCTACCTTGGCCTGCGGACTCCTCCTACCTACCTTGGCCTGCGGACTACTCCTTCCCACTCTGGCCTGCGGACTATTCCTACCTACCTTGGCCTGCGGACTCCTACCCACCCTGGCCTGCGGACTACTCCTACCCACCCTGGCCTGCGGACTACGCCTTCCCACCCTGGCCTGCGGACTATTCCTACCTACCTTGGCCTGCGGACTCCTACCTACCCTGGCCTACGGACTACTCCTTCCCACCCTGGCCTGCGAACTACTACTCGCCGTGATGTGATATTGCACATAATAATTAAATTCTATCACTTTGAACCACATGTCTATTTAACAGGTAAACAAGCGAGACAAAAAGTGGGTAATGACAAACTCAATGACGTGCCAAATGTCTCTCATGCTCCTATACTTACACTATTTGCTGACGATACTACCTTCATCTGCTCAAACCCAAACCCACATACTCCAAATAATATTGTAAATAACGATTTTAAACAAAGGCCCACATGGATGTCGACCAACATGCTCACACTAAACAAAGTGTGGTTTAGTGTGACATAATAACAGGACATAACGCAGGTCGCCTGCTGTCATGTGACATGTAGTGTGACATGACAGCAGGTCACCTGCTGTCATGTGACATGTAGGGTGACATGACAGCAGGTCACCAAACATAGTTACCTGTTACATTTTATTTGGAACCAAATCATCAAACCAAATTCACTGTTAGATATACAATGTTAACATTAATAGTAAAAAAAATAAAGTTTCTTGATCTTTACATAGTCAATAGACTAAACTTCAATATTCACAACATATTCACAAAAATCTCTAAAATTGTTAGTATACTCTCAAAAAGCATATATTATGTTCCCTACTCTGCTCTTCTTACATTATACTTCTCGCTAATCTATCCCTATCTTACATACGGTATCTATGCATGGGGTTCATCCACTGCAAACTACCTCAACCCCATCATCACCCAGCAAAAATTTGCTATCAAAATTTGTAACAAACCCTGTCTTCATACAACACACAGCCCCTCTGTTTAAATCCCTAAACATTCTAAAGTTCAAGTTCAAGTATATTTATTGAGACAAGAAAAATATACATCTCAAAGGAATAAAGTAGCTTAGGCTATTTCTACCCCCCCCCCCCCTCTTATTTCAAGTTCCTCAAGAGGCGCACAAATTCAGTGAGTACAGATACACAAATCACAATACAAGAATCCCATTTAACATTGCAGGTTAATATAGTAAACACAGCATATAAGTGTTACACTCATTGGGGCAAAATTCTTGTAGCTCCTAAGTATTCTGTCTATCATACCATTATCACACACACATTGAATTTTGATTTTTTTTTTAATCCAAACAATTTGATGTGGTACACTACTTATTTCCTTATTTCTATAGTTATCAATGAATTGACACTCTAATACATAAAGTTCTTTCAAGGTCAAGTATGTTTATTGAGACAAGTAAAAAAAAAAATTAATCTCAAAAAGTGGCTTAGGCTATTTCTACCCACCTTTCTAGTATCACTGCAACAGTCGAGAACAAATTCACAATATCCAGCTGCAGCAGTCACGTGCAAACACGAAGATTCTAAACATACTCACTCCACACATTATATTGTGCATCAAGGTACAGGTCATGTCAGTAAGGTCTCTTGTCTTCACCACTTGATTGCTTCGGTCATTCACTGTAGTACTCATGATTGCTTTGGTCATTCACTGTAGTACTCATGATTGCTTCGGTCATTCACTGTAGTACTCATCACAAATGTTATACGCCTTCAATATTAATAAATAATCTTGATATGATAAATATTTATAAGCTGTGTTGCCCGTTGGCTGCACAAGCTGATTTTCTGCTTCTGTGATGTTATGGATACAACTGAGTTCTAAACTGTTAAACAACTGTTAATGTATAATAAAATATTCTCCATTTTATTTTTATTGATTTACCTCAAGTATTCAGTATACCATTATTCTAGTACTTTGTGTCGATCATCGTCCCTTCAGATTCCTCGTAGTTTCTCACGCCAAACTGGCAGATGGAAAAAGACAAACGTTTTATGTGGCTTTGTCAGACTTGTGTTTACCTTGCACGCGTATATTCGTTGTTTCACCTGTATGTTGAGCAAACCCAGTAGCTGTAGTGCCTGTGGGGGACAATGCTTCATTACTTAATAGAATGATGAACGATTTGATTTGATTTGATTTGATTTGATGTAAATCGGGTCGGGTCATTCGGACCCGACCCGATTTATGATGTTAATGATAATAAATTCATTAATGATAATAATGATAATAAAAACACTTACTGGTGTCTTTCTAAATCTGTAAAACTTACGTTTATATTTCCCTTTAATAAACATTCTTAATAGGACCCAAATTGATTACTAATTACAGGACCGACCCCGACCAGCCTATGTCCCTAGGCTGGACAGAATGTCCTTAGGCTGGACTTAGGCCTTAGGATGTCCTTTTATATATATAAAACGCTGAACTGTAATGTCAATCCTGACCTTAAAAGCTTCCTAGAAGGTTGTAACAGACCCCATGAGCACCACACCAGAAACAAATACCTATTTGATATGCCAAGAGTACGACTTAATCAAACTAGAAATGCTTTACAAATCAAGGGACCTCGAATGTGGAATGACCTTCCCAATTATGTCAAAGACTGTACCTCTCCCAACCAGTTTAAGATAAAAACAAAGTACTACCTTATTAACTCCATGTAATACCTACCTCACCCCCTAAAATGTCAACCCCTGTCTACTACTTGAAACAATGCTGTTTGTTGACCAAATTGTATTTTTGCTTTTTTTTCTGCCGTGTTCCCCCCCCCTTTTTCATTTTTTATTTTTTCTCAACACAATTTATGCTTTAATCTCAATTAGTATTAAGTTTTAGTCTTAGTGTTTTTCCTGCCCGAAACGCTTTGCGTCATAGTGGCTGTAGGCATTGTATGTACTAGCTCTATCTATAAATCCATCAACTTTTTGTATCTCACCTTGTATGTATGTACTTTACCTGAATAAATATTTTGTTTATGTCCGTCCCGTACCCCAGACCATATCCCATGCAAAGTTGGGTGAGGATAGCCCCAAGTGTGTGGCCTCCAACCTTGGACAAACACACACATTCTCTTACTGGTATAGTTAATTTTGGGTCCTGATAGTAGAGTTGAGTTCGTTCCCAACTCACAATCGCCTAACTATTTTATGTCCCGCCAGGGTTCGAGTCCCGTGCTGGACAGAAATGGTTGGGTTCGTTTCCTATCACTTAATGCCCCTGTATACCTAGCAGTAAATATTTATTTATTTATTTATTTATTTATTTATTTATTTATTTATTTATATATATACAAGAAGGTACATTGGGTTTGTGAGAATACATTGGATAGTACAGTATTTACATTCTTGTAAAGCCACTAGTACGCACAGCGTTTCGGGCAGGTCCTTAATCTAGCAGATAATTTTAAGTAGGTAATTTCAATCAGAATTGATAAATGATAAAGATACATTACAAGAGAAAAATGAGATGAGAGAGATAAGTAGGTATATTAAAGCACATTGTTATATTAAAGCTCTGATTGATTACATTGACAGCTTGATTAGTAATTTAAACAAGGTTAATAGACACCATACAGCAGATTGACAGCACATATAAGACAGCAATGATCACAGTGGTAAAGATGTTCAGATTGGGTACATAAAGATTGGGAGACTGGGTAGCAGAAGATACAGATAAACAAGATTTATAAACAATATGTACCAAGGAGTCAGCTTGTTGTGGGGTTGCATCCTAGGAAGGGTCAGTAATTCGTCCTTGTGGGAGAAGGGACCTCGTCACCTCGATGTAAGCCTGACGTGTACTGTACGAATAAACTGGCTGCCTGTCTACAATGAGTTATTGTTACGGACCCGAGCCCAGCGTCGTAGCACGGAGCAGTGACGTCCACGCCATCTGTGAGTCGGCTCCCAAAACCCCCTCCAAATGGACGACGCCATCTAGCGAGGGCGGGATATACCGGCCACAGGAGCTGGTTTCCCGTCTTAATCAGCTCGTGACATAGCCGCTGCTGACCTCTGGTGAGGTGACGCTTAGACAGCAACGCCATCTATGGAGTGGATAGGTGGGCGTTTGTGTCTAAGCCTGTAAGTGAGGTGCCCTAGAGTGTCCCTAGTACTAATGACGTGTCTGATTACAGAGTCGACCTGGGACTGCTGTATCGGACGATGGGCAGTCTACCCAAGGCAGCCAAAGTCTCTCCACGTGTTTGCTGCAGAAGCTGTGAGTTGCTCCCGGACAAACACTGCTGAGAGTGTTAGCCTGCCTGTGACGTGGCAGAGTTGAGGAATCGTCGTACCCGGGGGTTGACTGGTGAAAGAGACTAGCCACTGTGGTGAGGAAAGTGATCTGTGGAATCACACGAGGCTCCTGCCTAGGGCTCGCAACCCTAGTATCGGTCGTGGAGTGGCCTACGCAGCAGAGCTGATTGGAACCTGCCAGCTACAGGCTGGATTTGTGGTTGAAGGCCTCCACGACGGTGTACCCAGTGGGACTGTGATTTGGCTGGCCTGTGGCCAGGGTAGATTCGCCTAGGGAATCGAAGGATTCATCGTGGGCCACAAAGAAGAGAACCAGGGCTACTCATCGTGAACACCGTAGAGCATCCTGTGTCTTCGGAGGAAGACAAGTTATTGTATATAAGTGTAGTTATAGTCCCAGCGAGTGACTGTGAGATATATATTTATGGTGGTGGTTAATATATATATTTAAATTAGTGTATTTGTATCCCTTCCCCTTTCATTTACTTGCGTTACAGAACACACCCCTTGAAAGCCACTACTGACTTGGGGCCGGATACCCAAACTCTAATAACATCAGAGGATCGAGAACCCAGTTGCGACCCAATAGGGCCGTAACAGTTATTATAAACCCATTATTATATAAAGGGCAAATGGGGAGACCTTTAACAAGCCGCCGGCTTTCTGTCCTTGTCGAGGCCACTAGTATTAGTGGCCCCTCAGGTAAATTCAGGTAAAACCCATGGAACCGCTCACTCCCCGAAGCCGCAAATGCCAGACATTACTGCAGATCCAAATCCATTTGGAAAAAAATCCTCATGAAAAAATGAGGGAAACCTTTGACAAGCCGACGGCTCCCTCTCCCCATTGAGGCCACTAGATAGATGGTGGCCCTCAGGTAAATTTAGGTAAATTAATGCTTCTGTCCAGGAGGCAAATGTTGTTGGAGATGCTTGTGAGGTGCACTTCGCCCGGGTAAACTATACACATAACTCACTTCTGGGAGTTATATTATTCATTATGGATTTGCTGTGCTATACATAATGCGCTACATTAATTATACAATTGCTTAATGAAGCAGTGTTATAAGAAGACTGGAAGGAGCGAGGTGGATGGTCTTGGGGACTAGTTGTGGTGTGTCGCTGAGCGATCCGAGTGCCATCTGTAAACATTTATCAAAACAATAACAAAGGCAAAAATAACTATTTCTCCCCGGCGCCTGTAAGTAAGTGAGCAGTAAGAGTAACTAAAGATGCATGTGGTTGTGGTAGAGCGAGGAGGGGAGGTTATGGGGTGTGAGAGAGTGTGGTAATAAGCCAGCAGAAGCAGCACTGAGGGAGACGCCTGCTGGGGGGGACTCACCGCCCGGAGCCACACACCGCCGCGGCTCCTCCACCACACACTCCTCCTCCTTCTGCACACTACTACACCCACTCTCTTCTACAACCATGCCCAAAAAGAAGTCAGGTATGTAGACACGTTCCGGGACATGTTGAGTTTGGGTGCTGGTGTTGATGTGCGAATGTTAGTGTGGAGTGCTAGACAAAGACTTAAGTCTCACTCCTCCTAACACTCAAGGCCTTCATTACCACCTTATTATATTCTGTATATATACGTGTAGTGCCTAAACTGCCACTCAAAGTATACTAGACTAGCCTTTAAAGTGTCATTATTTATAATGATCTTGAAATGTGTATTCAGTACACATTACATTTGAGTCCTTTACTATCATATAATGCTTAGTGATCTCCTGCTCTTATTGACATCATCTCATAAAACGTTTTATAGCTGCTCATAATGAAATCGGACATTTAAATACTGCATAGAATGAGTGATATTTGAGGGCATGTTTCTGTGTACAGGCACCATTTTCCATTATAATGGCTGGCATGTGTGTGTTTATGTGTGTGTGTGTTACGTGCATCGTTGGAGAGTGGACCATATCAGGAAGCCTGGCTTACCCTTCGGTTCATTTCCAGAGCTCATTATGTGCTGCTGAAACCTTACCACTATTGCTCAATAAGTGCATTGATACTTTTCTTTTTATATCTTGTATCCTAATAGTGCATTGCTTCATGGCCTTGTATATAATAGGGTTCTAGTCCTTTCACACATCTCGTTCACTAACAGTTTATATATTTTGTTAACCTATCTAAGCCAGCCTAACCTAACATTACTTGAACCAGCCAAATCAAATAATACATACAGTTTTAACAATTAGAAAACAGGCTTTACATAAAATTCCTATGTACATTTTGACCATACTCCATCCAATTTAGTCTAGGCCGGGGGAGGAGAAGCAGTAGCATGCGTGCCAACCATAATACTCGTAACCATTTTGTTGTCAAGCATACACATATTGGTCACCTAAACAAAGCTCTTTAAGAATGCGTTCAAGCATATTTTTCTCCAGTGGAGAAAGAAGAACTTTTTAGAAAATTACTGCCAATTGAATGACACATTTTAAAAGGTTCCCCACCCTTGGTCTAGACTCTCTTTCCCCAGGATGCAACTCTATAACAGTTACCTAGGTGACTATTTACTGCTAGGTGAACGGAGGCTTTAGGTGAAATGAAATTTGCCCAACCATTTCTGCCTCTCCCAGGAATCGAAATCAGGATTCCTGATTGTGACTTGAGAATGAAGGCAACTGTACTATGAGATGCCTAATGTTAGGTAAAGGTTTAGTATTCAAATACTGTAATTCTTAAATTACTTTTGAAAAAGTGCTGGATGTCCTCTGATATGATCTGTTCTAACAGTGCATTTAACATAGACTATATGTTCACTAATTTGTTATTCACATATCAAATACTGCATTCATAGACAACTTTTTATTTTGGTTTTGGAGGTACAGTAATGTGATCATTGCATAGTAGTCTATTTGGTTTAGTTAGGATGTTTAAAGTTTTCTTTAGCTGTATTCAAGTGTTGTTGCATGTTTGTTTATTAAATGCCTATTACATAGATTATAAAGTTCCATTATTTTGTATCTAAATAACACATTTCTCCTTGAATCTATAGTCTATCCAAAATAGTGCAATACTTTCTCCTGCACTATTTGAATACAGGTACATCATATGCATTTGTACAAGCGATGGTTGAGTGGAAGGTTTACTTGAAGGGCCAAGTAGGTAGGCTGCAGGAGAAGGTCACGTGCAAGTAAAGAAAGTTTACTTGATAAACCAAGTAGATTTTTACCTGCATTACCTGAAAGCCACCATCTATCTTGTCAAAGGTTCACCATATTTTCAACTAGATTTTTTATCTGGTTTTCAACTGATTTTGAACGGCTTTGATGGGTAGACAGTTCCATGAGTTTATTGAAAAGGCATCTCCTCTTTTCTGTCCTACATTGTGGCTTGTAGAGATTGAAGATGTTGCCCCTTGTATGTGTTGAATGTGACCTTTTAAAGAAGCGGTCTGGGTCAATACTTTGTTCAGTATTTTAAAAGTTTGTATGAGATCTGCCCTGTTGTCTGTTTTGCAGTGTTCTTAGTCCTGTGGCCCTCAACCTTTCTTGGTAGGGGAGTTGACTTAGTTCTTTGATATTTTTGTCACTGTGTTGTACTTTCTCAAAAGCAGATACGTATATCATTCTCAAAATGAAAGTTTTTTACTTCAAGATTGAAAATGAAAATGAAGTCTCTAGTGCACTCCATTTGTATAGTAGTCCAAATAGGGGTGCACTAGAGATTTGTACAGTTGAATAGCCACTTTCTTTTCTTTGAAGTCAAAGGTTTGTTAGACTATTCCTAGGGTTTGGGTGGGTTTATTTTTTATTTTACTGCATCTCCCGCTTGTTGTGCAGCTTTCAATGACTGGTGGAATTCTGACTCCTAGGCTCTTTTTCTTCTTCAATCTGCTGCTTGGTAGTGTTGTTTATTTGTTAGCTCTGATATGCATTGTTATGCCCTATATGCAAGGTCTTTCATTTTTCAAATTAAAAATAATTTGCCAGTTTTCTGACCTTTTGTGGAATTCATGTAGGTTCTATAAGGCTTTATTATTTGTACTTACTACTTTACCATAGATCTTAGTGTCGGCTGCAGATTTTACAATGTATTTTTTAATATTCTCATTCATGTCATTGATGTATATGAGAAAAAGGGTTGGCTCCTAGATGGACCCTTGCAGGCCCCCACTTAGCACATTTCTTCAGTTAGATTTGTTTCTATATGTATTTAGGACAACTCTTTGCTTTCTTTGTTTTTATCATTGTTTAATCCATTCTAGTAAGTGTACTTTACCATTTATTCTTATTTATGTAGATATTAAAAGACATTGCATCTTTCTTTATGTATTGAGCAAGTTTTTTTTTTTTTACTGCTGCCATCCACAGATAACCTGTTTTAAATTTTCCATAAAGCTTCCATGCCTTGATCTCATTTTAACTCCTTCCAGGAGGTTTTATACAATTCCTGTTTCATTATCCAACCACTTGGACTGGACGGTAGAACAACAGTCTCGCCTCTTGCAGGTTGGCTTTCAATCCTAGACTGTCCAATTGGTTGAGCACCATTCCTTCCTTCGTTCTGTCATAAATCCTTTTTCTTGCATCCCTTCCAAGTGCGGTATAGTTATAATAGCTTAGTGCTTTCTTCTGATATTTACTTTACCTCATGTCTCATTCTATGATAATCATGAAGATAGCCTAGAAAGCTGCTGTCCTGGGCCTTTATATGGGTTTTTGTGCTGTAATTGTATTCCATCTTAGAATATTGTGGTCACATGAAATGGTGAGCTTCTTTTTTACCTGAATATGATTGATCATACTCTCTTCTGATGTTAGCACAAGATCTAGCATGCTGCTGTTACCTCAGGGGTGGGGGGGATGGGCCTCTGTCATATGCTGTATGAGAAATGAGTCCTGTACCAAATGAAGAAATTGTTCTCCCTCTGGTTGTGATGTTAGATTCACCCAGTTTTTGTCTTGTGATTTGCAACTTCCTTTGCTGAAGCGCTTATCTGCTCCTGTAGCATACTCCCACAGTCAGTTTGCTAACATTTCCAGCTAGTATATTGCACCATAAAAATTTTGAGGATCCCATGATGTTTAATTCCTCATTGATGGTTGCAGTCAGGTTTATATACAGTATAACCATCACAAATCACGAACACAAAAGGAAAATATTTAAATGCACAAAGCCTAAGACATCTAGATAGATATATCAACACATAAATGTTCCCAAACCTCACAGTGAAACACCAAAAAAATAAAAAAGGACAAAGAACTGAGAGATAATCTAAAGGAGTTAGGAAACACAGATCAAAATAAAAATTTAAAGCTGAAGATAAAAGGGCACATGATCATGATAGTAGAAAGAGGAGAGGACATAGTCTTTTACCCAGCGAGGCAGAACTAACCCTATTCATCTCCAATGACAAGCAGGCACAAAACAAAAGGGTCAACATGCGAAATAATAATATAATAATAATATACAATCCCTTAACTCCTAAAAGCAATGTCAGGAGTTTAAATTGCTTTTACACTAATGCCAAAAACCTAGTACAGTACTGTAAATGTATTTAATGCATTGTCTGTACATACTAAGATGTGAGAATCCCCCACACTTTGGGCTCGGCAAAACATGGTGATAAGATGACATAATTGAAGGGGAATTCCATTTTTCAGGATACCACCCACCTTTCAGAAAGGACATAACAACAGCAGGTGGTGGTGTGATACTATAATGTATCTTCCTTTCCAAATATAAAAAATTATTACAGTATGGACTTCTATCTACAGTGTTCTGTACTAATTTTCTGCTGGTATCCAGTTCTTTCCTAAGTGCCTGTCTGATGTCAGTTCCTGACTGCTTAATTCTGTTTTTGACTTCTAGACATACTTCTGTGATTGTTTTTTATATCCTCCTTACACTTCCACTCCTTTAGTAACCTCCAATTGAGTTACCCACATTTTCTCTTAGAAAATCCTTGCCTAACCCTTTGTTTTGGATAGCCTGTATAGTTTTTCTTAATTCTTGTCCATATCTACAGTACAGTATCTATCTACTTTTTTACTTCAAATTCATTTCCATTCATTTTCCATGTTTCAATTTCTTTCACTAGTTCCTCTATTCCTCCCTGTCTCATTATCTTACCTTTACCTCCTTACCACCCAACCATTTGGGCTGGTCAGTAGTGACAGTCTTATTTCATGCAGGTCGGCGTTCAATCCTCAACCGTCCAAGTGGTTGGGCACCATTCCCTTCTTGCTGTCCCATCCCAAATCCTTACCCTGATCCCTTCCAGGTGCTACTGTATAGAGTCGTAATGGTTTGGTGATTTCTCCTGATAATTTCCTTCCCTTACCTCCTTACCTTTTAAGATCTTCATTTTCTTTTTCAAATGAAAGAAATATTCCTTCATGAATTTTTAGCAGATCCTCAACCTTCACCAACCTGCAAAGAAAACTTCCATTCCTTATTTATTCCTCAGTGAAACCAGGAGAAATTTTAGACTCT